TGGCAGTAGTTACAAAGGAGTATTTCCTTCTTATTGCTGCTGCAACAAATCGCAAGCACATCACTTTGCTTCTATTGTCACATGTCCATCTCCTGCCCTGGTTCCCCTGTCTCCCTTTTACACATACACACTCTGATAATGACACTGTGCCGACCTAGATTACCCAGGCTAATTTCTCTGTTAGTCAGTTTTCTGTTACTATAACAAAATACCTGTGGTAACTTAAAAACAAGAAAGTTTATTTTGGCTCATGGTTTCAGAGGTTTCAAGTCACGATCAACTGACTAAGTTGCTTTGGGGCTTGTAAAGCAGTTCACTGTGGCAAGAGTGCATGGCAGAAAAGGCTGCTTACCTCATAGTAACCAGGAACCAAAAAGGAGAAGAAGACAAGGGGCCAAGATCCAAATATCCCCTTGTAAAGACCATCCACAATGACTTACCAACTTCCCACTAGGCCTGACTCCTTAAAAGTTTCCACCACCTCCCAATAGTTACAGGCTGAGGACTAAGGCTTTAACACATGGGCCTTTGTGGACACTTATGCAAGCCCCAGCACTTTCCATCTGTAGTGACTTAATTCAGTCACATCTGCAGAGTGCCTTGTGCCCTGTAATATTCACAGGTTCTGGGGGTTGGGGTATGAACATCTTGAGGGTGGGTCATGCTTTGTCTACCACACAGAAGGATAGACTGTATGTTCTTTAAAGAAATTTTGTCTATTGATCTATACAACCTGTTAAGAAAAGCATAGGCGAGGGAAAAAAACACTTACAAAACAAAATTTTTCCACATTATAACAGTTTTCCGTTTTTAACGTTCTACTTTATGTTTTTAAGTACCCAGAAGCGGATATACAGTGAAGGAAGGTTGTTGAAGGTCAAACTTTAATGCAGTCGTTCAGAAGACAAAGGGGCCATGAGGAACAGAACACATATGTTTCTTGGAAAATATTGATATTTTCCTAGAAATACAGATTTATGTCCCTCACAATGAACACCAGCAGTGTTATATGTACATCAGCTAACAGCAAGAAAAATCAGATTGCCTTGGAAAAGATGGTAGAAGTCACTGCATTAAAAAACCCTACTTGTTCTTATGTTAGCCAAAAGTTAATATGAACAACATGCAGCCAATGAGAAAGGAATCTGGTACTGTCAGAGACTCGACAAATTGGATTCTTTGTAAGTGATGCACCATTCAGCTCAGTTCCTGATATCAACTGTCTTCCAAGTCATCACTGCATGAAACATCTGTTTTCTGCAAGATTAGCGCAGCTCAACGGAAACGTGCCTAGCCTGAAGGAAATAAAGAGATGGTAAAAATCGATTCTAATACTATTTATGGGAAGGAATTCAGATAAAACCTAGTCTGATTCATGAAAAATGTTTTCAAGCTCCCTTAACTGGATTTCTCTGGGGACACAGGCAGTTTCTTGATATCATGGATGGGAAGGTAGCAGTGTATGCTTCTATTTCTATCCAATGAATCTGTTGTATCCAACGATACAACCAAGCCTACATTAAATTAGACTGCAGCACTTATGCCAAAAGCCAAACATAAACCAGACACCCGTGTCAAATCCCTTTACCATGAGTAACAAAATCATCAAAATATAGTGACAAAACATGTCCAGGATCAGCCAATAGTTCACACATTTCAAGGAATATTTGATGAAACATAACACCCAAATAAAATGAATTTAGACAGTCCTTGGAGTTTGTGGCAGGATTGGATGTGGCAATGTGGTTTTACAAGAATACAAAAAGGTGACCCTGACTTAAATGATCTCATAATAAAATTTACACAGCATAAGTTTACATCCAGTGTGTCTGATTACAGGCGGCCAGGGCTGTTAAGTCTGCAGTTAATAAGTGTTTTTATAATACTTAATACTTAAGTTAATTATCTGTCTGGAAATGGACCGGGAAGTCTCAAACTTTCAATTTGTCACCTAATTCAATGGAAAAGTGGGGTGGGGGTCGGACACTCATTATAACTGTAGGTGATGTCTTAGAAAAGACAGGCTTTTGGTTCACAGCTGGGTTTATAACAGACTCGGTTAAAGTGAGTTTACAGAGACTCAACACTAACATGCATTTCTAAGGTAGTTGCTTTTGTATCCCTCCAAAAATGCTTTCAGAAACAAATCTCCGGTTTAAAATTCACTGTTGAAAAAATAAAACACCAGGACAGATTTGTAATTGGACACCTACTTATCTCTCATGAGGCAACACAGGGTGAAGGCTGAAAGGAGACCACAAATAAGACAAACCATATTCTTCCTGCTAGTGGGGTCATGGTCAGGAGGAATCTACTTTCATATGCTGCCCTTAGTAATGTGGCTGCCTCTTTGGATTACCACCTGGGAATGTCATTTAAAATTAAACATTCATATACCTGGTGACCATCTCTGTCCTGCAAAATAAATCTGTCCTACAAAACTAAATCCCCACACAGGAAGACAGGTGTACAAAAGTGTTCACTGCAGACTAAGTTGCAGTACCTGAGCACCAAGGGAAAAGTTAATGATCATTGTTAGGAAAGAATTAAATCTATTGTGGTAAAATATCACTGTTAAAAGAAGCAACACAAATAGATTGGGAAAGGTTTCCATGAGGTTTTGTTCAGTCAAAATAAATAAGATGCAAAAAAGTATTTAATACGATTCCCTTTCAGTAAAACAATGCCAAAATAATCCTATATGTGTATATCTGCATGCACATATATATGTTAGTGTAGAAAAATGTTAGTGTGGAAAAATACAGTAAGATGTAGTTCAAAGATGGATCCGGACTGTATACTAGATCTGGGATACATAAAGAGGGGTGCTGCTAGGGGATGAAGGAGAGATAGAGACTGGAGGGAATCAAACATCAAAAATACGAGTAATCTCTGAAGCAAAGTCCTCATCCAGGACTGGATGGATTCACTGCTGAATTTTATCAAACCCTTAAAGAAGAATTAGCACCAATGCTCCTCATCCTATTCAATGAAACAGAAAGAGAGGAATATTTCCAAATTCATTCTACGAAGCTAACCTCACCCCAGTGCCAAAAACAGATAAGTTCACAACAGGAAAACTATAGACCAATATCCTTGGTAAACACAGATGCACAAATACTCAATAAAATACTCTGAAGTTGAATTCCACAACACATTGAAAAGATAGCGCATGATGTCACATGAATGGAAAACACCACATAAATAGAATAAAGGACAAAAATCACACAATTATTTTAACAAATGCAGAAAGGGCAGGTTACAAAATTCAACATCTCTTCAGGATAAAAACCCTGAAGAAACAAGGTATAGAAGGATCTTACCTCAATGCAGTAAAGGCTATACACAAGAACCCCACGCCAGTATCATACTGAATGGGGGAAAACTGAAAGCATTTCCTCTAAAGTCAGAATTCTGACAAAGGCGTCAACGCTCAACTCTTCCATTCAATACAGCACTTGTATTAGCCAGAACAATCAGGCAAGAGAAAGAAAATTTAATGAGATACAAATACAAAAGGGGGGGATGAAGTTATCCTTGTTTGCAGATGACATGATTTTATACTTACAAGATACTAAAGACTCCATCAAAAGGCCCTAACTACACTGAGATTCCATCTTACCCCAGTCAGAATGACTATCATCATTAATACGAAAAACAATACATACTGACGAGGACACAGGACAGGGGAGGATCTCATACAGTGAGTGGGAATGTAAATTAGTACAGCCTCTGTATGGAGGCTCCTCAAAACTATAAAAACAGAATTACCATATGATTTAGCTGTACTACTTGGCATATGCACAAGGGAATGAAAGTCATCACAGTACAGAGATACCTGCATCCCTGTGTTTACTTCATCACAATTCGCAACAGTCAAGTTAGGGTATAACCCTGGATGCCCATCAACAGATGAACGGATAATGGAAATGTGGTCACATACAAAATGGTGCATTATTCAGCCATATAGAAAACTAAAATTGTCATCTACAGGAAAATGGAGGGAACTGGAGATCATCACGTTAAGTGAAACAAGGCATACTTGGCAAGATAAGTGTCTTATGATTTCCCTAATACGAGACATCTAGAAAACAAAACGATGACATGAACGTAGAAGAGGGATTATTATGCTAGAGTCAAAGAATCACAAGGTAAGAGGAGGGCAAGTGAGGTCAATGGGGGGAGGTATATGATCAAAGGATGCTATATGTGTGTATGAAAATGCTACAGTGCCACCCAATATTCTGTATAATGAATACGTACTAATAAAACATACACATGAAAAAATACAAAGAAAAAGCACTGCATACAACAGATTGGCATACTCGTTGTCATGCAAATTTCACATGAGAACCAAGAACAAATTATTGGATCCACCTTTTTTCTGAAGTACTAGGGATGGAACATAAGGCTTTGTGCATACTGAACAGGTGCTTGGCCACTGAGCTTCACCCCCAGCCTTAACTATTTTTTAAAAATAACAGTGACCCTAATATGTGGGAGTTTTATAATTAGTCCTTGGATTCAAATGTTAACTTAAATGTTATCCTTCCATAACTATATCTATATCAAGCAAAACTTGCCTCTCAATCAAGTATGCATTGGTTCTTAAGTGACACAGGTCTGAATTAGCCCACAGAAACACTGTGATTTAATAGCAGCCAGAATGTCAGAAGACAGGGTGTCTTATTTGCTTTCTCTTATTCATTAAGTCTTACTGTGGCCTTGAGCAAGTAACTGATCTGTTGTACCTCAGTTTTCACATCTGTAAATTGAGGGTGTGGGCCAAGGATCAGGCTTTAATAGTCTGTGAATTAGTCTTGATTTTCTTTTGACTTGACCCAGAATATTTGCTAATTTAAACATAATTCAACATAAATAAAGTTCACAGAACTTTGTGCTGAGGATTGGAAACAAGCACATTCCTGGGAAAGCATGTCCTCGGTTTTTTGGCTTTTCATTGCCCTGATGTGATTACGGAACCCAACAATCCATCATACCTTTAGGAATAGGCTGGGAATGCTTTGCTCCTTGGTCCAACTTGAAGTCCAAATATAAGGTTGGTGTGCGAGTGTAAATCTTGGACTGAAAGAAAAAAGGGAAAGTATCAGCATCTTCCTAAGAACAAAATTCTTCAGCTAGGCCCTGTTGTAATAAACTGGACCCATTATACTTATGGTTCCTCTTAAGAAACCATGGCTGTGAAAGCCATGTGGGCTGCTAATTCAGCCCCTTGTAAGGATCCTGGTCTGGAAATGAGCCCTCTTAGCTTTACAATATGGTTGATAGCTAATTTCGGGACAACAGCTTGTTGTCTGCAAGATTCAATAAAGCTATTACCATTTTGAAATTTTTCAAAGTGTCCCGTACACCATACATATTTTTCTTACCACTTAGCCTTCTTGCAAAAAAAAAAAAAAAAAAAAA